TCCCAGGTGAAAGAAAGCAGATTCCTTGCTCAAAACAGCTTTCTCTGCAGAGAGGTGGATAGAGCCCATATTGCTGTGCTTGGCTTTTTGATAGCACTTAAGGCCTCCTCACAGTTCCCCGTGGCTTCATATTTTGGACCTTCCAGCTGCTTCAGCCATGGCAGGCAGGAAGCCATTCAAAGGATCGTCTCCTTGCTGAAGAGCATGTCAGAAACTAGTAAAAACGTAGCAAGAATGAATCAGCTGATGCTTTTTTCAGGCTGTAAATGGCAACAAAACAAGGTAGATAAAAAGGTGTTACCACATCTGATATTACGGAATAGGCAAGTGAAAGAAGGAAAGGCACTGGAAAAAGGAATAGAAAACCAGAACCTATTTTTTCAATAGATATTAATTGCTATTTCAGCAAAATAAATTGACTCCTGTTGATAGGGAATCACATTCAGGAATCTCCTGCCATATAAAAGGAGCCCTGATTTTCAGCAGAGCTATTGCTGCTGTTCCTGGTAGCTCTAAGGAGTCAGAGCTACAAATAAGGCATTCTCTTCTCCTGCCACTTGTGTTCTGAGCACAGGGAGAAATGTTCATGACAGAGCAACTACCGATTTGTGGTGGCTACATTCCCACCGATTTCAGGGAGGGGACGTATGGATGTCAGAGCTAGCATTGTTGAGTACACTCTTCCTTTGCTATTAACAAAGCATCTTCTTCCTGTGGACAGGTGTTCTCCTAACCAGCCTCTAACAACCTTTGGACTTCTTGGCCTCAAGTAACATTAAACTCAATACTAATAAGACTGGGAACTAGCTCAATCCATCACACTCATCAAAGCCCTGTTTTGCCCTCTGTAGCCTGTCCTCTAAGGCTAATGAATTTATGCAATTGTGGTTGTGTCTTCCCCTTCCTCCCCTGCTTTGATCTCTTAGCTTTGAAACTCAGTTCCATCCCTATCTGACAAAACTGAAAAAAGCCTTTTCAAATATATTACACTTCTAAAAATTTATTGAAAAAATAGATGACTAAGAGACAGTCATAAATGCCCAGAGGGTGGTGAGCTCACTGGCTGGGGGACCCGACAGAGTCTACACAGATTAAGAGAAGCTACAAACACCACAGACACAGGAAGACTGTAAGATCATAATTTCCCCACATAGCAAAAAATCTAACCTAAAGATAGACACGAGGCTTCTCTAGGCAATACGTTCATGGAAATACTTAAAATAAATTAGGCCTGCAGGCCCCACTGCAGCTTGTCTGTAAACCAGCAATGTGGTTTACAAAGCTTCTAGGCAGCCTATATATAGAAATAAAGCAAAAGTACATAATGTTTAAAAAATAAAATACAATCCAACTCACACTGCAACAATTTCCAGCAGCAAGAGTGATTCTCATTGTGGGGTTCAAGGAACTCTCAGAGGATGCCTTTCACACCTCTCCTAGAAGGCTGATCTCATTCACTAGCACCAAGCTGGCCAGTTCACTCTTGCTACATTACATATTCCCTACTGAGAGAGGAGTACTTGCATCCAACAGCAGCTGAGCTGCCATTCATGCAGATCACTGCGAATGAACAGGCACCTCAAGTCTGGTCTTGTTAGCTTTACCTTCCCTGCCTGACCAGGTGACAACAGAAAAATCCCAATTCTCAAATTTCATGAAAAAAAATTTAAAATATTACAATACATTGTGTTCAGGCTTGGAAATGAGAACTCAGCTTCACTTATTCCTAAGTCCTATGTTTTCAAGCTTTCAGTGCTGTATTCTACTGCCCTCCATCATAAATGGCTCTTCTGGAGAGGCAGAAGCTGGTTCATATCTGTGGTTCCCTGCAAACTTGGTGCCTCTTTCTCCTATCAAGATATGTGACCCCAGATGGGAGCAGACAGCACCAACATGCAAACCCTCACCTGCCTTCTTGAAGAGTCAGTTCAGACCAAACCAAGTTTGAAATTATCCCAGAATTTCAGTTGTAAGTACCTGCAGACTGTTTTAACACCCACAATTCACAGAATCACAGAACCATTCTGGTTGGAAAAGATCTTTAACATAATTGCGTCCAACCATAACCTAAATCTGCTAACCATTAACCTAACTCTACCAGCCATTAACCTAGCTCCACCAGTCCACTGCTTAAAACCCATGTCCCTAAGCACTACATCTACATACCTTTTAAACACCTCCAGGGACGTTGACTCAACCACCCCTCTGGGCAGCCTGTTCCAGTGTTTAATTACCCTATCAGTGAAGAAGTTTCTTCTAATATCCAATATAAACCTTCCCTGGTACAACTTGAGGCTGTTTTCCCTTGTCCTGTTGCTTGTTACTAGGGAGAAGAGACCAACTCCCACCTCTCTACAAGCTCCTTTCAGGTAGTTGTAGAAAGCAGGAAGGTCCCCCCTTAGCTTTCTTTTCCCTAGACTGAACAATCCCAGTTCCCTCAGCCACTTCTCAAAGGACTTGTTCTCCAGACCCTTCACCAGGGTTTGCTCTTCGTTGCTCTTCTCAGGATGTGCTCCAGCACCTCAACGTCCTTCTGGTAGTAGGGGTGAGGGGGGGCAAAACTGAACACAGTATTTGAGATGCAGCCTCAATTAATGCCTTTTAAATCAGCTAGAAGGCCAGTCACTGGCTTCAAACATGAAACTACCTCACCTGCCATTTCTGGAAGAGGCTATTTAGAAAGAATACAGGAACTGAACCAGGAACCTCTGAAAGAGAAGTCAGAAACAGTACAAGGAAAGCAGCAAATCAAGGCAGTGTGTCAGCTCAGGCCCAGCGGGAGGGACGCCGCGTACTCACAAGGGGTTTCACTGGCACCAGTCATTTGCCCTCTCTCTGATTTGCTCCTTTTATGAAGGAGGTCAGGCTGTGAGGTAACCTAAAAAGCTTTTACATTCATATCTGTAGTATCCAAATGTTTAGACTCCCTGAAGGATTTTTTTTTGAAAATGCACACTTTGTGCTAGTCTCCAGAAGCATGCTTTTTCCAGTACAGTTCACATATTTTGGACTGAAGTCACTGGATTAAATAAAAAACAGCCCTGGAATGAACAGCTGGCACCTACAGATCCCATTTATTCCCAATGGCTGCTCTACATGGTGGACTAGGACTGCACCCTTGTGCACCACCTCTTCATAAGATACTTGGGAATCCAATGGAGTAACTTGCATGAGAAGTAAAATATAAGCAGAAAAAGCACCTTCCCTCAAATATAACATAGAGTCAAGGGTTAAAGAAGCTGTGCTGGGAGCTGATTTAACAGTTCTCACCACAGAACTATTAAAGCAGTGGGCATGACTTTCACATACATACAGCTGTGGTTTTGAGTACAGAGAGAGCCTGCACTTTGTGAAGTGTATCACTAATGAGAGGTTACAGGCACATTTGGAGTACACGACAGTGTACTTTCCAGTCAACTTAATTTGGAATAAATGTCTAGATCATGTAGCTAGAAAAAGGCTTCAAACAAAAAGCAGACCTCAAGAGCTGTGAAAAGATGGAGGCGATGTGTAACACCTACATTCTCCCCCCAGGTCCAGACAGGAGAATGCTCCCTGGCTCACCATCTGAGTTGCATGGCAGATTTCCACTGGAAGAAAACCTGCCTGTGTGAGCAGGGAAGAAAAAGCTGTTTTGTCTTAAAATGATCACTGCAGATCCAGTCCAGACAGGTCACATAAATGAACACAGCAGCTCCACGCACTGCTGGAGTTCTAGGGAACTTTACCAGACAGAGTGGACATGACTCCAAGCTGTGCAAGCACTGGGAGGCTCTGGTGGGTGGATGGATGGCATGGTCGGACAAGGAGGCCTAAATACCACACTGCTCCCTGAGTGCAGGCCTCAAAGTCATCCCTACAGGTAATTCCCACTTTGCCTATCCACCTAAAGAGGTGCTAACAGAACATGAGATAAAGTCAGATCACTTTGCTTGATGAGATTTAGGGTTTTCAAATTTGAGTGGCATTTAGTCAAAATACCTTTTAAAAACTGTCTGCTAATCTCTTGTCCTAAGTATCCAGTCTCAGCCTTTAAAAATAAAGGCTAACTATTAAAAATAAGGGGAATTGGATTTTTTGTTTATTTGGTTGCTTTGTTTTTGTTAAGATGACAGGTATAGTTATTAAAGTTGAAAGCATTTACTGGCAATTCAGTAACTGCTTAAAATAGAAACATTTCCTCTGTTAGTGAGGCTGAAGTCAGACTTGACTGCTTAAAGAAAATCTTGTACTCCTGCATCACTAGCAACTACCTGAACTGGAATAAATCACGGTGCTTTTGTCCAATCTATTTCAACAGCCATTTTGCAGCCCTTCCTTTTTATCTGTTAAGAGAAAAGCAATGAGAGATCAATGTTATTAATGTTATTAACTTTGAGACAATTATTTACAGACCGTCACCTAAATGAATACAAAATAAATGCACAGCTGTGTAATGCCAGAGAAGTACTCACATTGAAACATTGAAACTAGTAAATAGAAGTTTCAATATTTTATTAAAATAGCATATTCAACCACTGTAACCAATAATACATTAACTTTATTCCCAGAGTACGCACAACACAGTAGTGATTCAAAATATCCTTATCCATAGTAATCAATGAAAATATCTCAGGTTCAAGTGAACAACTAAAACTAAACCTTTGAAAAAATCTCTCCTTTAAAGAATACATAAAGCTCTTATACAGATTTTTTTTTTAAACTCCTCTATACTTAGGTGTCAGTGTTTATCTCCTGACAATACCACTAGCTTTTTTCTTATGCATAGTAGAACATCTCATATTTTATAGTACCCATTTTATAAATAAATTGGCATTTTCCATCCCATTTGTGTTTATCTTCAGCTTCACAAAGAAACCAGTAAATAAAACTGTCAAGGACAGTCACAACAAAATGAGCTCACAGCAAGATATAAAACTTGAAGATACTAAAAGATGCTCCTACTCTATTTTACATAAAAAGACAGATTTAAAAAGTGCAAGGCAAGATTTGCAGGGGAAAGGGAATATTTTTGTCGTTTTTAGGCACATCCACTTCTTTAAAGCAAGCTTCAGAATGAAATTCCAGTTTGTTCTTCATGATACCTGTTTCAAAGTCTCTCTCAAAAAAAAAAAACCAAGAAGAAAAAAAAATTACATCTGTCAAATGTCAAGCAGGGAATTTCCTGTCCAACTAATAGCCTTCAGTTATGTCTTGTTCTTCCTTTTTTCATCCTTGCAGGTTTAGGTTTAGGAATATACTGATTGTTCGCCTGATACTCAAGTTCTTTACGGAAGTAATGAATTGCTTTATTCAAACCTTCTTCCAATGGGACCTGTTACCAAAGTGAGGAGAGAATCATATCACTCTAAGTTCACATCAGCTCTTTTCACAACAGTGTATTTTTTAATACAGCTATCAAAAGACTGCTAGGAAGTTTCACTCTTACCTAATATTAGTATTAACAGCGCCACATACTGGTTACACCTCTGCATTGCTAATGAATGTTAGCTCTTAAACATCAGATTTCTTTTCTGATGCAGTAAGTCAAAAAACCCAGCAAATCCATATCTCATCATAAGGTTGTGATTGGTCTGTTTAGTGTCAAAACAGACTGACATAATTCTACTTTCAATTCATAATACCTTGAAAGAGATAAGCACTCAGAAATATAAGGCCCTTCTGTTTTTAATGATTAAAGATTCTCTTTTTGCAGAATCTCACAGAATCGTATATACCACAGAAAAGTATAAAGGTGGTGGGTTGCATTTTTTTAGTTTTTATTTCTTCAGTGCTCCCATGATATAAAGAAAAAGAGGATACAAATTATAATTTCATTTTATATTCTTAAACCCTATAGAAATAATTGTAATTCTTCACATTCTATACCTGTATTTAAACCCCATGATTTGCAGAGAAGAGCAACAGAAACACTATCCACTTTTCTCAGAAGCCATATGCTCTGACATGCTTGCTGATCCCAGCATAAATAAAGGAGGATAACATAACTGTGCTGCTACTTCAGACTAAGTTCTGGTACTGGCTACCAAACACAGATGGTCAGAAGTGTAAAATGTAACTGTTTTAAACCTTTTTTATTGTGACACTTGCCACCATCTTTGTGCTCTCAGGCATAGTCAATACCTGGTGGCTCTGTGAATTGTTTCAGAAGGGTTTGGAGCCACCTTTTTCTATTAATAGCCTCACAATTACAAGAAAGGTCACATGTTTCCTGGAAAAACTTTTGCCTGCAATTCTAAAAAAGCATAGGAAACACTATGTTAGCTGGAATTGGGAGCTAGCTAAGAAAAGTCACACCCTTTCTGCGGATTAACAGACATTGCCAAACCAACCAGCTCTTATCGGCATCTATGCCTGGTTATAAACTTTCATCTTTAACTTGGTAAAAAAATAAAAAGGTTGAGAAAGAAAAAAACAGCAAACTAAACTTTAGAGGTGGACAGACATTATTGTGGGTGGTGAGACGTTAGATTAACCCTGAGAACACTTTGAGCTTACCAACATGTAGAACAAACTAAACATCTCTACATATGATATCCTTAGTCCAAAATAAGGGCTTCTTACTCTGGTTTACTTCAATCCACCAGAAAAAAAATAAACCAAAGTGCCATCACTCTCTGGCTAGCTTCTGTTTTGCCTGAGTTTCACATATTTCCCTTTAAACAAACTCTAAAACACAGAACAATTTTCTGGTGCTTATATTTTTCCCATTTAATCCAAACAAACTTTTTACATACCATCTTAAAAGGAGTCTTACTCCAAAGATTTTTTAAAAATAAAAGCAATTTTTTCCTTCCATAATGCATGTTACCATAGCAAAACATGACTGAAGACTGCAGCAACAGCAAACTCATTAGCTCCTATAACTACGTACCAGATATTTTAAAGGATTAACCAGGCTCACAGAAAAGTAGATACTTCATAATACACGTGAAAAAGTTAAAATGCCTATCCTAAAAATGTTATTTTGTTCTACTTAATTCTATTATAAATGCTAATGCTAATCTGCTCTTCTGCTTGGCAGAGGTCATAGTCTTACCCAACAGTTCTTGAATTGTGAGCTAGGGCAATACATGAGACAGCCTTTTAAACTGTCTTGGAGACTGTGTTAAGTAGATAATTCTGATAACAGAAATGTATCGTTACCAAACGGGTCTCTCCCAGCCCCCTCTGCCTCCCTGTGTTTTCGCACACAACAACAGTAATACAGCTGCACATACCACAGGTTCCCAGCCAAGCAATAACTTGGCTTTTCTGATGTCAGGTTTTCGTTTCTGAGGGTCATCCTGTGCTTCTGAGAGAAACTGGATTTCACTCCCACTGCCTGTCAAACAAGAGACTATGCATTAGCATCCGTAATTCACTATGCTTTGCATTTTCATTTTTCATGCCTAATGGAGCATCAGGTCTTTCTGCAGCTTTCTGCTTCATAATTCTACCACTGAAATGCTTTCCACAGACACAAGCTGCACTGTATGCAACAGCTGGGTGAACCAGCTGTCCCACAGCAACATGGATTCACAAAGCATTTCACAAAGTTTTCAGCATGGATTCACAAAAAGGAAGTTATGCTTGACCAGTCTAATAACCTTCCATGATGAAATGACTGCCTCAGTAGCCAAGGGCAGAAACTGGATATGATCTAACCTGACTTCAGTGAGGCTTTTGATGCTGTCTCTTCTAACACCCTTATCGAGGACCGGATGAGCAGACACTGAGGTGGATTGAAAAGTGGCTGCGTGGCCAGGCCCAGAGGGTGGTGATAAGTGACAAGAAGTCTAGTTGGAGGCTGGTAACTAGTGGTTGACCCCAGGACTCAAGACTGGGTCAATACTGAGGGGCTGATAAACCAAAGGGCTGTGCTACCATCCACAGAGACCTCAAGAAAGGAGTCTGGAAAAAAAGAGCTGACTGACAGGAGCCTCATGAAGATCAACAAAGATAAGTGCAAAGTCCTGCATCGTGGGAGGAACAACCCTAAGGAACCATTACATGTTGGGGGCCAAACAGCTGGAAAGCAACTTGGCAGAAAAGCACTTGAGGGTCCTGGTGGGCACCAAATTGAACATAAGCCAGCAAAGTGTCCCTGCCATGAAGAAGGCAAATGGCATCCTGGGCTGCAGTATGAGAAGCACTGCCAGCAGGTCGAGGGAGATCATCTTCACCCTCTACTCAGCATTGGTGAGGCCACACCTGGAGAGCTGGGTCCAGATATGAGCTCCCCAGCACAAGAGAGACAAGAATAGGCTGGAGAGAGTACAGTGAAGGGCTACTAAGATGATGAAGGGATTGAAGCACCTCTCCTATGAGAACAAGCTGAGAGAGCTGGGACTGTTCAGCCTGGAGAAGGTTTAGGAGGGATCTCATCCATGTGTGTAAATATATGAAGGGGGGGTGGGGAAGGGGCAGACTGAAACATATCAGATTGTTTGTGAGCCAACAGACAAATGGAGGCAACAATTATTCTGTGTGCCTGATGGGATTGGTGCTGTGACTTCCAATTTCCTTCCCTGACCTGTGAATTTATAGATGTTTTCCAGAGGGGACTGTCCTCTATTAGTAACATCACATGCATCAGCTTTTGTACTGTATGTTTGAACTTGTCTTTTTCAGATCCCTCAGAAGCAGTGCTGGAATATACAGACTAAAAACCCTTGGCTAATCGCATGGGTGTACTTCATCTTACTAGGAAGCCCTATGTGAAGACTCAGCACAGCCCTTCACTTCCATTCTTCAGAGCTCTGATTTGCTACAGGTATCAAAGCCAGAATGAAGCACAAGTCACAGTATTTTCTTCCCAGTCACATATAAGGGAGGTGCTGACAGCCCCTGCAAGAGTCACTGGTAGATCAGTGAAAAGGAGAGAAAGACAGTCACCACAGCATGAGGTTGGTACTGGTAGTTGAAGGAGAGCAGCCTGCATGACTTTAAAGAACACCTTGCTGAAGTGTCTGTAGTTAGATAGGATGTTATGCAGGATATTTGCATTCATGTTTTTTACATTTCATTTATGTACTGTCCTTGTGCCAAAACAAAGATAAAAAACTGAGTAAACATTATACAAAATAATGGGTATAGATTGCAAAGATACACAAGAAGAATGTATTCATTAATGTTCATGCAATATTTTATATACAGTTGAGAGGATTTTGATTATCTTATTAATACTTAATTATATGATCAGGATACAATTAAATGCCTTTGATAAAGTTATTAAGAGATCCTCGTATAGTACAGTAAATCCAAAGACCAATTAAATTACCCATCCATTACACAAACTAATCAAGTAATAATAATCTAATGACAATAAGTACTTCATAAGCTTTGCTAAGAAATACATATCATACTCACCAACAAGCTTTTTAATTAGCTGGGCAAATTCTAGAATAGTGTGCTCTTCCGGGTTTCCCTAGGAATAGAAGGGATATTCATCACATTACCAATGAAACACCTCACAAGACAGTAGCTTTCTGACACAAGACAATTCTAACAGGGTCAAGTTCAACTCTGAAAAAGCTGAATATTATACCTTATTTCTGCTTTGATAAAAAAAATGTAACTTTCACAAGCTCCATACTCATTAGAAAAGTTGCCCTCCATCACAATTGCCTTGATAAGTCCATGTATGTAGGGGCGAGTCCAAAGAAATTTGTCTGTAAGGAATTGGCAAATGCAGCTCAATCATGCCTCTCTCCAGCCCATGAAACCATACCATTATTTTGAAAACTGGACTGAAGGATTTGCCAGAGTTAAGGACAGACAATATAAGGAAGAGATATGATAAATTCTCAGTTCATCCCAAGTTAGGAAACCAACTAATTTAGCTGTAAACAATTGCTTTCACATTTACTGCAGCTTACTTACCAACATGTATGACGGCTACTTGCTTTCCTATACAAATATTCTTTTTCTTAATCCTCACTTTTTTAAACCAACTTGCACATGAACATTTTGAATCTCTGAATAAAATGATGAAGGCTTCATGTTTGCATTAGCTCTCCTTTAGACTCAATTCCCTTCATCTCTAGCTTTCCTTGTCACAAAACTGTTCTTTCCTAAAACTTCTTTGACCTAAAGCTGAACATTTAGGTATGTATAGATTTAAACACTGGGTTTTATGAAGAAAAAAACCATGCAATGTCATTTAAAAATATCAGCATTTGGATAGAAACATATGAATTAATTCATGGCCACAGTAAAAATGGAAAATCTAGTGAACAACTGCCCTGCAGAGTTGAGTATCTGATTCGGCGAAAGTCAGCATATACAGAAATGACCTGGCATATGCATCCTTTCCAGATTCTTATATCCACTGCTGAGAATAAGGTGACAACAAGCAGGATGGAAGAAAAGTCTTATTAGAAAAGTTAAGTTCTAAGGAACCTTAATCAACAATAGAAAATTATACAATCTAATACTATTCACTATCCCACCATCTGCTTTAATCAGGGCTACTATGAAGTGATTTTTAATTATTTAGAGTTAAGCATTCCTTCAGTGCTTTTTTTTAGTAAAACTAGACTTTAGTAATTTTCCTGGTATATTTTGCATGTCCTCCTTCTGCTCATATTTGGTTCGTTTTTTTGTGGGTGTTTTTGTTTGGTTTAGTTTGTTGTGTTGTTTTTTTTAAAATTAATATTCTAATTACATAGATCTTTTTGCTAAAACAAATGAAAAATTCTAGAAAATGTATCCTGTTGTTGGAACTACAAGTTCTCAACACCTAGGGCCTTAATTTTCTGATCTATAAAGAAAACACATGCATCAATGATACGGAGGAAAAGAGAGGTGATGATGGCCACTGCACAGGAGACACAGCAGAGTGGCACTCTCATACTCACCAAGTTGACAGGACTGCTGACATTGCTGTTCATCAACGCCACCAATCCATTCACAAGATCACTATAAAAAAGGGACAACAGATTGAGGCAGTTTCCACTTGTCTAAACATAACACTCTTGTCTAAAAAGAGACCTGCTGTCTCACACTTTAGTAAAGCAGACCAGGCAGCTAAGGAATGGTGAAATGAGATTTACAGTGTACACTTCAATGGGTGTATGCTTTCATGGCTGCTTGCTCTACAGTCCCTGCAGTAAGATATACTGAACTGGTGGTCAGTTTGAAAGGTGATTACCTTTGGGATACACTGGCCATAGTTCATTTGAGTATTATGAACAACTATAAAAAAAATCAGCATGCTAATAAATAACTCATACTTCCTCTTCCCTCCACAGCCTAAGCACATTTAGGGGCCCATTTCCAACACATTTCAAACAGAACAGAGTATGTTGTAAGACAGAGGCACATGACATCACCACCTGCTTTGCAGTTTGTTGCTTTGTCTTCTTTTTTAAAAAACAGTATTTCTGGTATTACCTCTCCCCAGCAAAATAACTCAGTTATTTTGAATCAATTATCAGCAACAAACTTAGCAGCTTGCCCCTGGACATAAAAATCCAGATCCCTTTCATTATGAGCTATATAATCTGGAAAGGAGTGGGTACTTTGAACTGACAGGGTTTCTGTAGCTTCTGTCACTGCTGTTACTACTTTCAGCAGAGAGAAAGAACATTTCCAAGTGGAGAATGATTAAAACAACCCAGAAGCCTGGAATGGAAGTTGAGCTAGCACGAGAGAACAAAAGATTCTGAAAAGCAGATTCACTTTTTCCTAGTGAAAGTACATTCTAGCCTCACCTACACTGCAAATATTAGCTACAGCGATACCCCCTTCAGCTGGTTCCTTCCCCTAGAAGAGGACGTGTGAGTGCAGAGTACACACACATCCTTATGACACACGGTGGCAGCATGGCATTAAATTGCAACATGGACTGACAACTGCTCAGTATTAAAAACTTACCTACCCATTACTTGCTGATCCTTGAAAGGAAGAACACATATCTCAATTCAGAGTTCTAAACCAACTAACATTTTGTTTCTTGGCACTTAAAAAAAACCTTCAGTGTCTCCCTTCTGAAAGTAAAGCTGCCATAAGAATGAACAGAATTTCTTAAACTAATGTGCACATGCCTATGAAACTGGCCAAGCTCAGAGAACCATTATCAGACAGTACAAACCAGGCTTACCTGACATACTGGAAAGCTCTCGTCTGTGTTCCAGGTCCATAGACCTAAAATCAGATGAAAATTATAAAAGTTACATAAATATAAAAGTACTCTGTAGACTATTGTGTTTTCCTCAGCATTGTAGAAAAACATCCCAAGGAGAAACACGCAAGAGACAAGCTCAATGTTACAGGAATGGAAAAAGATGTGCCTGCAGAGCCTTTGGCAAAGTGTCATTTCTTTGAAGGTCTTCATGCTTTTGGATGTGTCTCCAGTAAACACAACCTCAGGCATTTTTTTAACCAGAACTCTGCATATAGGAAACATTCTAAGGACAGAGTAATGCTTTGTCTGCTCCTGAAACACTGAAAAAGGCTGCAGCATGCACTTAGCCAGAAAAGAGTGCCAAATATTTAAAGTAAACCTTATAGTACTAAGATGTGGTTATGATGAGCAATTTGTATTTGCTCATTAAGAGCAACCAGCTTCAAAGAGGCCATCAAATGTTAGTGGTCTCTGAAAAAATTGTCAAGAAAAATAATAACATTTTAAGTGTTTAAAGCAATCAAGACCAAAAAAAAATAAATAAAAAAAAATCATGTGGCTCTCAATATTACTATCTGGGGACATGATAGGTAGAGTAGCTTCTACAGCATATGATTCCCAAAGACACCTGTACAGCTTTGTATCCAAATCTTAGAGGGAGGTAAAGTAAAAAGTTTTCTCAGGTTATAAGTTGGAACCTTGGAGCAATCAAGTTGTTTAAATTCAAACAGACATTAAAGCATACTTAAAGTGTACATAGTAGCATCAAATAACATCTTTTTCACAGTTTGATTGTGTGGAGTACTATGGTCCCTAGGACATGAATATTTAAATTTTGAAAGCAATCAGTAGGCATATCTAAGTGGTGAAAACACTTAAGTTTAACCACAGATGCACACCTTACCACCAATCTGCTACAATAGAAAAGCTTTTTGAAAGCACAGAATAGAAAACATGTTTTTTTTCCTAGGGGTTAGGAAAAACAATACAATTGTTACACATGCCATCATCTGTCACTTCGTAAACATGCTGCTCTCTGAGGCCAGTCCTCAACCAAAAGAGTTCGTGTTTCAGTAGGCAGGCTTAAGAGTTTACCCAATACCTGATTCTGAGAGGAATGCTCCAGGAAAACACATGACAGACTGGTGGACTCCCACAACAAACAGGAAGATTTTATGTATTTATATAGAGCTTCCTGCTTGTCTCCTTTTAGCTTGTGGGCTAAGTTTTATATAACTAACTCTTTAATGCATGACTTTGAAGCGTCACCTGTGTGGTTTCCTTTCCTACGTGCAGGCAGTGGCTGGAGAACACAGTGCAGTTTTCTCCTCCTAATTTCTCTGCACACACCCCAGTTTCTCTTAATAAACCCTTCCTTTACAATAATACAAAGTAGCAACGGTCATGTTTGCACAGGCTACAACTTCTTCAGACTAAAGAGACTGTTTTTGCAAGAGATTATTTACTCCATTTGAAGAACTGCTTTGAACCAAGAGACTGAATACATTCAGCTTCTAAAAAGGTCAGCAGTTGGTATTCCTGTCAGCCAAATCCTGTGATGATACAATGGTTAAATTTTTTGGGGGTCCCAACTACTGCTTATTGCTGATAATTAATTATCTTTGACCTGGTCAGCTAAACAACTCACTCCTTAGTTCTTTTCTCATATTCAGTAATTCTCCATGTCAGACAGTTACTCCTTACAGATCAATGATGTCAGGAAAAAGGGTAACCATATTTTGGCATATTATTTGAAAAAGAGTAAAGTTAGCGGAGATGTTTCACAGGACACCAAGCTTAATCCTGCCAGGGCACAAGGCAGTGATCTGGACTCTTCAGTGCTCTGTCCAGTTTCAGATTTTCCTCAACAAGAATCCAAGTAGTGGGAGTTGCCACAAAATTTTCATTCTTTTTCTCCTTGGATTGTCTGCTACTTCCTAGAGGAATTCTTGGCTTAACTATAGATTTTACTATCTCCAGCAGAAGGAATGCTGTATTAATCTCAAAATATCTGCCCTGGGGAGGCACTTAGCAACATTTTTAGTTATTTAGCAGAAGCCATTGAGTGATTTCCTGGCACTTTACTCTTCTAATCTTGGCAATATTAACAAATATTTATATGAAATTTCCGCTGTATGTCACATAAACTGTGTTGCCATGACTTCAGAACTGATCCCAGATTCTAAATTACTTCTCCCTGTTTCAGGATGTCTTCTCATTTGTTTTATAACCATAAATTACAAAGGTTTCCTTTACTTACTAATATGTAATGTAGCCTGAAGATCTTTAATGTTACATTATACATGGAAAATTTAGGTTGATCTCCAAGCTTGCAAAAAGACATTTACATGCCTAACTTCCAAAAAGGGTTCTGAGAAAGTTCCTGAACTGGCATAAGTATCAACACATGATTCTGTAAGCCTTGTTGTGCCTTATCACCATAGAAAGACAGAGTTCAGGATGACTTACTTTCTCAGATCAAAACTAGTAGCCTTGTTTCTCTCTGGGAAAGGTACACTAATAACACTGACAGAGCACATCTTTGGATGTGTAATTCCATACATTTGAGCTTGATGAGAGTTTTAGAGGCAGGAGAGAAACCTCAGTATTTTCTAAAAACCATTATCTTTCATAGCACATGAGGATAGCATATAGAGATGAACAGTTCTTCACATCACTGAGGTCATTACTTACTGTTAATGGTTCTCCCTGGAGAGCTTGTAGGATAAAATTACTGACAACTCTACCATCATTCATATGCATTCGAGGACCAAAGGTATTGAATATTCTGGCAACCCTCACTTCAACTCCTTCCTGTAGCAAAGAAAAAAGAATTGTTACTACTTTAATAAGAGTGTCTTTTTTACTAGAAATGCAAATTAACTCTCTCCCCTGTACAAAAACTTTTTTAAGAATTCCTCTTACAGCTTTTACAAGCATTGTTTTCTCACCATGAAACACTTCTAAGCTCTCCTCAATACCACTGGAAACCCTACTGCATACAGCAAGGTAATTTATACTAGTTCTCAGTATTTGTAATGCAAATTCTAAATATGTGCCAGAACAGCTGATTATTTCAGTACACAGATTTGATATTCTTCAAACAAGTAATTTAAGATTTTTCAACAGTACTCTTCCAATGTCCAAATGGAGACCAGTGATGAGTGGCTTTGCCCAGGGTCAGTACTGGGACTGGTGCTGTTTAACATCTTTGTTGGTGACACAGACAGTGTCACCAAGAGCACCTTCAACAAGTCTGCTGCTGACACCAAGCTGTGTGGTGTGGTCAACACGCTGGAGGGAAGGGAGGTAATCTCAAGGGACCTTGACAGGCTTGAGAGGTGGGCCTCTGCAAACTGCATTAAGTTCAACCAGGTCCTGCACCTGGGTCAAGGCAATCCCAAGCACAAATACAGGCTGGGCAGAGAATGGATTGAGAGCAGCCCTGAGGAAATAACTTGGGGGTGTTGGTTGATGTGAATCTCAACATGAGTCAGCAATGTGTGCTTGCAGCCTGGAAAGCCAACCGTGTCCTGGATCAAAAGAAACATGGCCAGTAGGTCAAGGGAGGGGATTCTCTCCCTCTACCCTGCTCTCATGAGACCCCACTGGGAGTATTGTGTCCAGCTCTGGGGTCATCAACATATGAAGGATGTGGAGTTACTGGAGGGAGTTCAGTAGTGGGCCACAAATATGTTTAGAGGGCTGGAATGCCTCTCCTATGAAGACAAGCCGGGAGAGTTGGGGTTGTTCAGCCTGGAGAAGAGAAGGCACTGGGACGACCTTATAGCAGCCTTCCAGTACCTGAAGGGGCCTACAGGAAAGCTGGGGAGGGACTTCTTGCAAGGGCTTGTAGTAATAGGATGAAGGGTAATGGCTTTAAACTGGAAGAGGGGAGATTGGGATAAGATATCAGGAAGAAACTCTTTCCTGCGAGGGTGGTGAGACACTGGTACAGGTTGCCCAGGAAGGCTGTAATTGCCCCCTCCCTGCAAGTGTTCCAGGGCAGGTTGGATGGGGCTTTGAGCCACCTGGCCTAGTGGGAATTTTCACTGCTCATGCAGCAGGGTTGGAACTACAAGATTTTTAAGGTCCCTTCCAACCCAAACCATTCTGATCTAGGAAATCTTCCCTGCAGCCTACAGCTCTGCAAATACATCTTCTATGCAACTGAATTTTAATTTGTGCCTGTAAAATTGGGATCTATCTTCTCAAGGAAAAGCTCTTCCTCAGAGGAAGAGATTTTGGAGCTAGTTATTTAAAAAAAATTCCTAAATTTACTTTAGCCATTTCACAAACACCTCCTTTGAAGTGTTCCTTTTTGCATTTCGAGTACTCTCTACTCCTTTTTGCATTAAAAGTCTACAAATATTTGTTACACTCTTACCTATGTACTGCTACTCTCTATTGTACTACAACATACTAATTATGACTGACTACCTCCATTGTTTTCTCATCAGCAAAGCCAATTACATCCCCAGATTTGTGGCAGTAAGTCATGTACACAAACTTCCTATATCTTAGGAAAGGGAGATAAAATTCTTTGCCCCACATTTATACTACTAAACAAAAGAGTTTGAGACTAACCCCTGATGCTGAGATAAAATGTGATCAACTGGCTTCTGTCCCCACGGGTTAAGACTATGCCTTCCTGCAGCAGATTAATCAAGCAGCAAGTGCCTTCAGCAATCCAAAAAAGAGCTTGGGAGCAAGCTAGTAAAATGCAGCATTGTGAGGTATAAAACCACTTCAGCTCACTCTATTATTTACCAGTACAGACACGTTCAGAGAACGTGCCTGTATAAAAGGAGATAGAAGACAGAAAAGCTGCAAGAGAGATTGTTAGGGCTTATGCAGATACTTCCTCTGAATAATGCACTCAGACTATTCTATAGCTGTCAGTAAAAAAAGTAGCACTAGGTATCTGGTCTCTCCTGCAAAACAAATTTGTCCACGGCTTTCAGCATGAGTCTTTGCCACTTAGTTCTAGTGATCCCCGGTCCAGAAAGTATCAAGCTATCAATTATGCTATGATAACAACTTAATTTAATAATATATATTTTAGTATTATAAGATTTTAAAGAAAATCTATCTCCTTGCGTTGACTGCCTCAGAAAATAGATCAATACAGATCAATACCCAAAAAACAGCTTGAACAGATGCTGTGTAATTCATAAATATATCAGGCAAACCTGTCTTACTAATCTACAGTGCTTCCTTCTTTTGAAACTCTGTGGGTCTATTGGAACAATGAGGATGAATTAGACCTCCCTGCACACAAAATCAGGAAAGGGAAAGCTGCACTTGTCTGGTCTCTGGCAAACAGCTGGATTCACCAACAAAACAAAAGATCTGTCAAGGAAAGCCCAGACAGTTGCTGGGACACTGATCTAATATCAGTCTTTATCAATGTTTCAGCTAAAATTACTCAGATTGTTGCCTGCATTCCTTGCTTTATTACTCACTTTCTTACTGATTCATATTCGTTTCCATGTGTTTCACAGATCATTAACTCTTAAAATTGTTCACAAAACCCTGAATTGTAATCACAGCAGAATTACACAGCACAGTCTTCACCAGGATCCATAGCATGCTTAAGGTATGATAGTCTACACTGAGGCTTACCCTGAGATATTTTTTACATATATATATACTGTCTACTGTATAAGCAAAATGAGATTAATTCCTGGTTATCAACAGTTTTAAAACTGTTTTACAAAAATAGTAATGCTGAGATACGAATTTTATGAAAAGCGAAGCTCCTAAACAAGCTAGGAATGACAATCACAATCATCTGACTCTACTTTCAGCATAATGCTGGCTCCTGAACACAAACAAGGCACATGGCAAGTACCCTTATCTTATTGTTGATATATTACCATGCTTACAGCTTAACATCCCAGACTAGAGAAGGTACAACATCTCTTTGAGGTCTTTCAGTCAGCAGTGAGAGAGGCTGTAGCATCTCAGCTCTAACTTAGAGGCAATGACCAAGGTGCCTGAATGTCTGTAGCATTCAATTCAATTCTGTTCTTGCACAAAAAGCATCAATTCTGTATCTTTTCTTGAGCAAACTGCTAGCAAGCTTCAGGTGACAATGCCAAAAAAGGAGTGCTGCATGCCTAAAAATAATCTATATTGAATATCAGAAAAGATAACGAGCAATAATTATAAAATGCAGGACAAACTCCCAACAGACATTCAAGCAAACTGCTTTAGCTATTTTTTTTCTATCTAGTTACTGAATAACTACCTGGTTATTCATTATTCAAGGCCTTTCCAGTCGCAATTCAATCAACAGTTTTCATTATTCCTACATTTTACATCAAGGCTTTTTATGATTACTGAAGCCAACTCAATTTGTGAATTAAAGATTATGGGAAAAGTACAACTCGCTATAAAACAGAAAATCAATCTCATGTTGCAGTTGCAATGCAGTTCTATATTTAACAAATTTCAACATCAGTTTGCAGGTGCTATTATCTCATGTTAATAAAAAATGTAATCTCTAACATGTCTTTCCTTTCTTCTGTTGCCTATTAAGATTTTTTGGCACCTTGAGTCTTCACAGTCCTGGTTAGAGAATATGCTGTAATGCAGACCATAACACTTGTTCACTTAAAATAAGGTTATACTTAATATCTGATTATGATTCCTCAGTTCACCCCTATATGCTTCAAAAAGGCATCCAGTGGAATTCTTAATTTGAAGACCTAAGGCAATTTGAAACGGTAGCCCATTTGCTACCTCTAGAGCTTACAGAGTCTCACTGTTTGTACGAAAAAAAAAAAAGGATGAAGAAGGTGAACTTGTGTACATGCTCTGAATTTGAGAGCACTGCATTTTTCCAGCAAATATTACACTCCCCACCCCTCCTTTCAAGCAGATGCTTATATACGACTGAATGCTACTGCTGCCCTTGGGCTCTTTGATAAGGAAGTACTGCTGAGCTTTTTCAAAGATAGCAGTTGTAAAGAGGAGATGAAGTCAAGAAATTCTTAATTCATAGGATCAAAATACGTAAACAAAAGAACACTGCCAGCAGAAAAGAGTGGACCAAAAAAGTCTTGGTCAGGACAGGCTACTGAGGAACTCTGACAACTGTGAATTAAGTCATTTATCTTTGACTAGATTGAAGAACTGTTATGCAAGAACTGATTAAAACAGTGTGCCTGGAAGTATAATGTAGAAGTTATTTTTTTGGAAACAAGATTAGGTGTTTAAGGTACCTAACAATGTGCATGAGGACGGAAATATTTGGAAGAAATGAGAAAAAAAAAAAAAAAAGCAGAAATAAGTTTGGTTGTTTCTTCTTTCTATTGTAGTTGAGAAGATTTGGGAAATATTTTAGCCTTAAATCCTGTCTTGGGCTAGGTCATTCCTGTCTGAAAACCCTCTTAAAAGCACAAGACTTACCTTCATAGCAGATGTCCTTTCCACTAGCAAAAGATAATTTTTCCTCTAAAAAAACCCTAGCTCAACAGCGTTGCAGAATACACCTGAATGTGGGAAAAGCTTGGGCAGACTAGACCATAATAAAGCACAAGAAATATCTCACAGAGCTGCCCCTACAACTCACTTGCATAATGAGTTTTCACTTAATGCATGTGTGCACAGCAGTTCCACCTTACAAATCTTCACTATCCTTTGTAAATCTTGCATAAAATTTACGGGATAGTATCATAACTCATCCTGTGGCTTTAAGACACAGCTTGTGATTTTCAAAATGTCCTACAGTCTTGCCATTCTAAAATCATACTGCAGTGTGTACCACAAATTTGCAAAAACTTCAATACCCTACAGCACAAGAATTTATCATAAAAACTTTCCAGACCCACAAGGAATATTTTGTGACAGTGAAGTTTGGAAGACATCATTCTGAACAAGTGCAGTACCCTCACAGTGCACCTTACATGATGTAAAAGAGAACAAAAAAGACACAAACCTCTGCTTTCTCAGTCTGGCAGAAGAGACAAGAGAAAATTACTACAACCTCTGAACCAAAATACCATGCCTAAAGTCTTACCATTTAAGTTTAATTCAGTTTTAAAGGCCTTTAAAAGGCCTTAGTATTCTATCATTTAAAGGTTTAAAATTCTACAGAAATACATGTGCTTGATTTATACCTTTGTGTATGAAGGCTGTAAACACCAAGAAACAGTGATACAATGGTTTTTAGTGTGCCACATGTTCTAATCTAATCGCCTCCCAGAAACTAGCTGAACAGCAATTATGATAATTCTAAAGTGATTTAAAATACCTTGCTACTATATGGGTACTCATTAAAGAACTTCTTCATTTTTACCTATATGTTCTAATTTCAATTCTGCTCATTCCACATTTACCAATAAAGTGCCTTCCAGCACAGGACCAACTTAAAAAAAATCGGTTATCTGGCTTCCAAATTATTAAGGTCACCTCAGTATAATCTAAGAACTGTTTACATTACTGAAAGGCATAATATGTCTCTCAAGAAGACTAAAGCACATTTTCTTGAAGAACACTGCTCATCTGAAAAAACGTAACAGGTGGGAATAAAATTTTAGATTAAAAAAAACAGATTTTGCAGCTACAGTATGAAAGCTCCTACTCAAGACATTCCCTTTTGCCCTCCTACCCCCAAATTCACATATTTCAGGTTTGCCACATATCTGGCCTTTATAGTAACAGAAAATACACTGAATCTGATACAAGTTTAATACCTGCTTCATGTATGCATAGCACATGGTCTCTGCAACCCGCTTTCCTTCATCATAGCAGGCTCTTGGACCTATTGGATTCACATGGCCCCAGTAATCCTCATTTTGAGGGTGAACTTCAGGATCTAAGGGGAAAAAAAACAACACTTCAGATGATCTTCTATCAAAAAGATGACTATATATAATAAATCTTTCAGTAAATCATGGGTATCATATACAGTTTAGCAGCTTCTCTCTGAACTACCCATTTATAATTTTCAACACCATTCCTTAAAAATGTATTCACTAGAACCATAAAAATTACAGTTACAAAAGATATGAGACTTGAGGTAAGATACCTGAGACCACAGGCAAGATTAACTGAGTAACAAGCAAACAACAGCCATCATCTGCTTTCCCCTACAAGAGTGGGTGAACAGAGGATTAAATTCAACTCTAGCCTGCAAAGACAGACTACATTCAAGGGAACAAATAAGACTCCCATCTAATGTAATTCAGGGGAAATACTATAGATTATGTAGGCAGCACTTTACTGTATTTAGAAAAAAAGTAAAACATCTTCCAGTTTTATAAAGTAAGAAATAATTGAAGAAAAATGGATAAAATTTAGTACTGTTTTTCTTAGAGAAGAAATCGGAGTGCTGTACCACAATGTACTTGCTATGTTTCATCCTAAGCATTTTTACTAGCTAACACTGGGCACAAACAATCAGGTTAGAAAATCCTTTGCTTTGATCCAGTACAGTCTCTTGATTACAAAATAAAACAAGTAAAAAAAAATCTCCTAGGAAGCTGTGTGCTTGTTTGCTCTATATGCTTGAAACAATACAATCACTTTGTTACATTTCCCCAGTTTGCTCCTATGCCTCCTTGTCCTCCACACCAGGTTTGAAGTTTGCATACATATTACTTACTAACTTTCAAGAGCTACAGTTTCATTTTTAAAAACAACTTGATGGCCCATTCCAATGAACCCTTCAGTTTTTATGCTGCTTACTAAGGTGATCACAGATTAAATTCCTGCTACATGAGAGCCACAGAGCAAAGACAAATGCAGAAAGGTTTTACACAACTACAAAAGCTTATAGCACTCATAAAAAGGTACTAGAAGTGCTGTGGTCTGAAAGGCCACTTCAGTTTCTGTCTTGTTTCTAGCAGATGCAGCCTTATGAAGCACTCTGAAGCTCTCTGACAAGACTGCTTTGAGATCACCTGTGGAACTAGCTAAGGCATTTTTAAACTTTATTTTCTGTCCTTTACTTTTCAGCAAAATTAATTTGTTTAGTCGGAGTATATGAGCAGACTCCAAGGGCTTTACTCACAAATAAAAAGCCTCATCATGGGAGTTTCAAGTTCTCTGCTTCAGCAGGCAGATTATGGCAGAGCAACGATGCTCCAAAACTTGTGTTGTTTTTTTTTACCTGTTCATCCCCTGTTACAGAAAGGAGCTTATTCAACTAAGTAAGAGTCCCTGGGGCTACCATTTTTCTCTGTGGAAACTGACTGTGGATAAACAAAGTAAAGGGAGGCAGCTGGAAAGATGCATATGCTCAAGCAACTTACTTGGTTGCACGGTCATCTTAGTGGTTTTCTTGCTTGTGTATTTGCTTTACATCTTCCTGACTCAAGTTATTCCACCAAAAGTGTACTCCTTGAGGTATTTTTTTTGTCCTTCCTCACAAAGCTTTACATCTAGTTAGAGATTATTATTTTCTGTTTGCTTGGGTTTTTTTTTGTTGGGTTTTTTTTTTTCTGAAGCTTAGACTATCACAACTACTAATGTTGAGAAGGTAACTGTGCTTGCATATCTCCATTAACCTTGCAACACTGCTATTATCAATTACGGAAGAGTTCACAACAGCAGATAGTAGGCAAACCAAACCGTCTGTCGCACACCCCATGAAGTACTGCAGATTCTTGTTGCACCCAGCCCAGTTCTATCGGTCATTCTCTCACTACTTCACTTAATAACAGCAAAAGGAAGGAGAAGAAATAGAGTACCATTGCTCAATATTATGGTTCTTTTTTATTGAATCACAGAATGGTTTGGGTTGGAAGAAACCTTAAAGATCATCTAGTTACAACCCCCCTACATGGGCAAGGACACTTCCCACTACACCAGGTTGCTCAAAGCCCCATCCAACCTGGCCTTGAACACTTCCAGTGATGGGGCATCCATAACTCCCCTGGGAAGCCTGTTCCACTGTCTTACCACCCTCACACCAAACAACTTCTTTCTAATGTCTAACCTAATGTTTTAAGAGACACCACAATAGCATGCATGCACAATCACTATTTCCTTAGCTTGGAGGTTATGTCCTTGTCTCTTGCACTGTGCTGCTCACACTAGAGCGATTGCTAGATTGTAATAATACAACTGGGGAAGACAGAAGCAGATTTGCCACTGAAATTATCTTTCTTCACAGGTTTGGCATATGGATTTTAATCAGAGTTCAACATACAAAAATTCCCCCACAAGCCCTTTTGAAAAAGAGCCATAAACTGAGACATAGGAAAGTTACAAAGCCTGAGGAGCCTCCTTCCACCACTCTGACTAGATATTTAAAGCAAGTACTAATTTTAAGCTGTGAGAAGTACATCTGATAAAGAAACCAAACTAAGACAGTGATTAAAATCTATCAATTATCTCACATGTAAATGACTTTTTACATAGTCACATAGAAAGACCTCTAGACAGTTTTATCCTTCTTACCTCCATAAACCTCTGATGTAGAGGCCAGCAGTAGCCGTGCTCCAACACGTTTGGCTAATCCTAAATTTTGGGCAGGGAAAGAAGATAATTAGATCAAGTTCAAGAATCTTTCAGTCCCATTAACTGCTTCTTAAAGAGAATTAGGCTTTCCTCACTAGATAAATATAGCTGTAAATCACATTCATAGCTCTCACTTCCAAGCTGGAAGACTTGAAAAATGGCAGAGCAGTTATGAAATTAGGTTCTTGAAACAACATACTGTATTATGATTACCAGAATTTAAAGACAAGCAGATGCAGAATAACATGTTATAGGACAAAGTCAGTATTTTTTCCTTTATAATGCCCCCTTACACAGCTTAAATGATCCTACCCACCACTCACGATTATTCTACATTCCACTGCAATGACTTTCTGGCCTTCAAACTGGCATTGCAAATCAAAGAAATCTCTCATCTGTGCCATACAACTGTCTTAATTCTCTGAATTGCACTCACTGGAGTATCATTCAGATGAGAAACTAAGCTGAGTCAATGCAGCAGTTATTTTGCCTCCTAATAACTTATGATCACTGACACTCCATTCAAGCTGCAGCATATGTTAAATGGATCAAAGATGGGAGGAAAAAGTGGTGAGGCTTGCAGCCTTCCTTCATAGGCCCATCCCCAGCATCAAAACCAATAGACAATGCTGAAAATACTGCCTTCTGATTAGCTAGCATGAAACTAGACATTAAACATTCTTGCAAAATTTGCTAGCCTACTCATGCACAAGAAGACACAGTGCTCTTGATGTCTGGGCTTTTCAGAGTTAATGCAAATTCACCTAGTTCAGCATTTGCTGTGGTGGAAAGGAACAGTCACTCATGGCAAACAGTGCGGTCATAGACACAACTTTGCTATAAATTCCCACACTCTTAATTGTTCTTATGACTTCCTTAATTACTGCACAGTTATTACTACACAGCCAAGTTACAGGTATTAATTTCTTGTGCTCTGATAACTGAGCTTGCATGTTGTCAGAATTCATCTGCAGACATTTCAAGGAAAAGTACAAGAATCTTCAAAGAGGGGAAAAAAACAACCCTTATTTTTCTTAAAGAATCAACTTTTTAAAATATTCAACTAATCTACTCCATCTTCCTCTTCCTCCAGTAACTCTGCTATGGTTATATGATGCCTAACAAAGTTAAGTAAGAAAGAAGATTTTCACTTACCCAGCATGTTCAATGTCCCAATAGTGTTGGTCTTTAAAGTTTTTATAGGATTATACATGTAATTTGGAGGAGAAGCAGGAGATGCTAAATGATAGATCTGGTCCACTACAGAAAAGCAGGGATGGGGGGAGAAAGCATTATTATTATTATCATTAATTATTGCTGCTTTTATTGTTGTTTTTTCATTAATATGTAACAAGTTAAATGAGAAAACATTAGGGCCAAGAAAAAAGGACTTCTTTCTGCATTTCCTAACTTTGGAACTTGGCATTTCCTATATTGATTCCTACAAAAAACATATATGTATGCAAACGTTTTGTAACGCAAAGCAAGACTTACTTTTTAGTAAAACAAAAACTAAAGGATAGTATATATCAACTGTATTGACACAGACAGAGAGGTCTAGGTGTTGAGATTTTTCACTTGAAAAATTTTAGTTATGAGTATTTCAGGGATGCTTAGAAGCTGCAAAAGTATATGCAACATTCTATCACCCTCAAGTTTTAAAGTGATTACCAGCTTCAGAATCTTTTTCTCTAATGGAATCCCAAACAAAGATGGCAGAAACATTTTTTAAAGCCAGAAGGAACCTTTTGGGAAAAAAAACAAATATTGTCTTTTTATTTGTAAGTCACTTGATAAAGAAATATTAATGGGATTAGAATCATATTTATATTTTAAATATATATGCCAAGACACAGGCTTGTAACTTTTATCCCTCTTCTTATCTATTGCCTTTACTGCACTGGGGTTCTATGCTGCACTTTGGATAATACAGCATTTTAGCTTCATTAAAAAAACACAGACAAAACCTCCCCAGTACAGAGATTCAAGCCTCCCCAGTTATAAAATGTAATTAACCAACATAGTAGACCATACTTTGCAATCAATGAAAGTATACTGATGCCTAATCTAATTTAAAATAATGTAGTTGGCTACTGGCAACAGATTGCCCATGTAGCACAAGTCCCAGTCTTAACTAATTAAATTTCCTGCATTTCTGTAATGACAGTGTAAACAAACCTAAAGATTCAAAACACCCACAGGAAATGCACATTCCGTACAATGGCAAAAAAGGGCCTAGTACAAAAAACCTGAACAGTTACACCTCTGTTGTGAGAATAGACTCGGAGCTGTGCGAACCTCAAGTTCAACAAGGCAAAGTGCAAGGTCCTGCACTTCGGTTGGGGCAATGCAAGGACACATACAAGCTGTGCGATCAGTGGACTGAGAGCAGTCTTTTGAGAAGGACCTGGACGTGTTGATGAGAATCTCAGCATAAGCCAGCAGCTCATGTGCAGCGTGGAGAAGAGACGGCTCTGAGGAGACCTTACAGCAGCCTTTCAGTACCTGAAGGGGCCTACAGGAAAGCTGGGGAGGAACTTTTTAACAGGGCACATAGCAAAAGGACAAGTGAAATGGTTTTAAATGGAAAGAGGGTAGATTTAGAGTGGGTATTAGGAAGAAATCTATCACTGTGAGGGTGGTGAGACACTGGAACAGGTTGCCCAAAGAAGTTGTGGCTGCCTCTTCCCTGGAAGTGTTCAAGGCCAGGCTGGGTGGGACATTGAGCAACCTGGTCAAGTAGAAGGTGTCCCTGCCCATGCAGGGGGCTTGAAACTAGATGACCATTTAGGTCTCTTTCAATCCAAACCATTCTATGATATGGAGGTTCTTAATTTAGCAATTATTCCTAGCACAAGAGAGCAGAGAGAGAAAAGAGAATAAAGGCTGTAGCAGCTTTGAAGTTCAAAGGCCAAATGAATAATCAATCAGGACTTTTTTCTCTTTCCAACTTCTACTTTGATTTAATTTTATCTTAAGCTAAATAAATCATGTTTTGCTGTCTATTCATCCAGTAGTCCGGCTTACTTGTTTGTTTTCAACTATTATTTTCACAAAATAGTCTATTTTCAGAAAAAGCATGGAAGTAATTTCTATGAATGTTGTTCAGAAGAGACATATAGGTATCATAAATGGTATTTGATACAAAGAAAACAAGCACACGGACTTTCATCAACTTTGGTTTTGTAACAGGCAATGAGAAAAGTTGCTACATCTGTGCTCCAGAACTTCAGAGAGCTCAGCTTACCCCAGCAAATTTAAAGAACTGGAATAAACCTCAATAAGCTGTGCCATATACCAGAATATGAAATACGGAATGTAGAAGAATCCCAAGATGTTAACTGATTAACGTTGGTAATCATGAAACTCTTGAGCAAATCCTAATTTTAAACCAGTTTCAGTGTATGAGGGTTGCAAAATGCATCGCATGGGATAAGAATACAAAGGTTGGAGGCACCCAAGGGAAAAAAGGTTTTTCTGTTAAATTGTAATCAAAACAAACCAATAAAAACCGGACTCATTTTCACAAGCAGCATATGATATTCAAAAAGCTCAATCTGGCAAGCCTTTCACAACAGAGGTATTGTAAATATAAAAATGTCTTTCTGTCTTCTGTGTATGATGAATCACAGTTAACCAGAACTCCTTAAAATATAACATGGATAAGCATACACCAAAAAATGTAAACATAAGATCAAGTGAGAGACAGTGACATTTTAAAAAGAAATAGAACAAATCCCCTAAAAGGTCCTCCAAAAAAGTAGTCAAAAGTGATGTAATTAGAATGGTAGGATGGAAAAAGGAAAAGTAATTTCTTTATGTTACTGAAGGAAAGTTTGGGACTTTTAAGACTCAGCAGTGAACCTGGAAGAATCTGGAAAAATCAAGGCTAGCTGCTATTCTGACAGAAGACAATATTGCATGGTATAAGGCTGTCTTGCCCTAGGAACAGAATACTGTTGGTCAAATGACACACTCAAACATTTTTCTTTAACTATTTTCTCAGTTGTTTTATAATTAACCAGCACTAGTAAATGACAGCAATATAAAATAAAGGTGTATTTTGACACTGTATTGATTATTATTAGCCATCTATTGGGTTGAACTTTAACAGTATCTGTGATGTAATGAACATTTTTCTTTCTGTTTTAATTTAATTCTTCTACCAAAAACAGGGTAGAAACATCTTTGACTTTCAAATTACCAAGTAAAATTCAAACCTGCCCCAGTTTGTCTTTTTCTCTACTGAATATAACTATAAACAGCACAGGCTGTATATGAGATACACCTAGTTGGGACAAAAAGTGAAATAAGAAGTTTCTACCTCCTCTCAACTAGTTGAGAACACTGAAATGTTAGAGGAATGTGTTTCCTGTTAAAGACTTCCTTCCCTGATTCTTGAATCTCATTTGACAAAGTAAGCACACAATCCTTGCTTCCTTCTCTCTCTCTCTAATGTAAAAAAGCAGAGTGGTTGGGGTGACAGTGAAAGTGGAATGCACCTATTGCTTCTCAACAATCGTTTAAGAAATGAAAAAATTAAAAATAGTTAAAACCCTTCAAAACACAAGCCTCTCTTTGTACTAAAAACCTACAGCCTTTTAAAGACAAGCACATATTCTGAAAATAACATGTAAAAACAACCTGGCAAATTAGCAAGGTAAAATACTTAACCTACTTTATTTCTGAATCCTTAGTGAAGTGTGCTCGCACACAGAATCACTTTTTTTTAGATTAACTGCTGTTTTAAAGTCTACTGAGGAAATTCATAGCTTTTGAGTGCTTACTAACTCATCTGTGGGAGGCATGTCAAAGTTAACCCTGTGCTTCATGTTTGCATTATTGCCCCAACACAAGAAACCCTGCAATATACTTTATTATTCAATTCTATTCACTGCTTAAGCGTACAATGTTAATAGTGAACCTAATACTTCAAGTCAAACCTCATCACACAGAAAAATTAACTAACAGAATAAACACAAGATCAGTTTCTACGGCAATCTGGATGACTCCCTCACCTTCAAGTTTTACTGTCTTGACAGAGTAATATTTGACAGTTATAATGATCAAGCAGATGCCACAAAATTTATCTATTTCTTATATGTGGCTATGATCTCTGTGGTCTACAACAGATAACGTCAGGAGCTGAGATGACCAGCTGTCTACATAAAGTCTAAACAGCCCAGAAAGCTAGAGATGCAATTTTGGGATGTGTCACATTGGCGAGGATTTACTCTCACACATAAAAAGCTGCAGAGCCATACAATTTCATTCAGCAGACTGCTCTGCTATTTGCTCTCATATCAATGGAAACCGGTATTTCCATCCACTATGAACTCCAGTACAGCATCAAAAGAGAGCTTCTCACAGTAGGTGACCTATTGTAGCAATGGATTTAGTCTTCAAAGATGGTCTGACACCACGAGTGCCGGAGGAAGCGAGCTCCCAGCTCAGGCTTTATTCAAAGCCCAGCCTGCATCGATAATGCAATGAAACTTTTCAGATTTTGTCTGTTACGTGAAAACAGGTAATTGTTCTGTGTGAGGAAGTGTGATGTGGAATAATTTCTCCTTATTTGGTCACTGTTGACATTGTAAGCTTCGGTACTGAATAAAATTTAAACTAATTATTCCACAGGATTTCTTGCATTTGGGCAATAATGCAGATGTAGCATGGGGAAAAGTTTAATTGGTATGTTGAACTCTGATACGCCTCCTACAGATGAGCCATGAATATAAAGTAAATACAAGACTGCCTCAAGTTACACCTCTGAATGCAAGCATCCCCTTCCCACCACATGGTACTGTGTCAAAACCAAAGAAAAGAGGTAGACAGGTAGCTTACAAAAGAAATGCTCAGAGAAGCTGCTAACAGCTACTCGTAGGCAGCAGGTAATTGAAGCACAGTGGCTCAGAAAAATGAACAAAGTATTAGCTAAAGCCACCTGCAGCCAACACAGGGTTGAACTCTGACCTGAGTTTTATGCTTTTTCTGCCTATCTATTCTTCCACAACCCTTTCTAAATCTAGTTTTCAACAGGCTGTGATGGAATTTGTGCAGAGTGAAAATGTCACTCCAAAAGCATTGTGATGTCAGTAACTCACTGCCCAATCCTAGTCTGTCAAAACAGAAATTAACCCTTTCCTGCCTTTAATTTTTGTTGTTTTTTGAATACTTGCTGAGTTTTGGACACACAGCAGTTCCTACAAAGAGAGATCCTTTAAGAGCACATGGCAATTCAAATGAACAGAGTAAAAAAC